GATTAAGGATTCAATTGAGGTTGGATTGAAGAATTAAGATTGGATAATTAAAGCTAAAAGCTTGAAATATTCAACCAACATAGTGAAATTAAGGGAAAAATGTTAACTTCCATAATTTTGTATTCTTAGGTATTCTTTAAGTTGATTAGGTATGCTTAAGGGTAGTTGATTGAAAAACTTAGCTTGATTACCTTTATTGATTATTTTGGTGATCAACCTTGAACTTAGGCTAATGATTTTAATTGGTTAAATGTTCTTGTAACCACTTGTGTTCATGGATTTTGAGTTAGATTTTAGATTATGTTCTTAGACTATAATTTAGGAATTAATGTTTCAATTTCATGATATGCTTCGATAATGATAATTATATGATTACTTAGTGAATTATTAATGTATTAAAAGAGTGAGTAAGTTTAGAAATATGAATTGGAAGCTAGAAATCAAGTATGTAAGAATTAGTTTTCTTAAAGGTTAGGTTACGTTTGAATTTTCTACTACTTGTTCATAAGTTTTAAAGTATTTCTAGGTAAACTTGTAAGAATGAAATTTTTTAATATATATCTATTCTAAGTCTCTGTAAAATGGTTTTGTTATTAATTTTGTATATGAAGAGTAATATTCGTTTAAATGTAGACTATTCTAGGTGACCTACTGCTGAATAGATTAGTTCTTAAACTTTAAAATTATAGTATTAATCTTGTGTTTGTTTTTTTGTTCTACTTTTTGGATATGTTTTGTAGTAATATGTCTAGTTACTACTAGTAAAAAGATAGGTTCTAATTATATCCGAAGTGGAGCTATTGTTACTTGTTTAGAAGTCGCCCTAAAACAAGCTTACTAGAAAAAAAGTAACGTTTGAAAAATGAGCATAAATTATTTATTTGAATATTAAATCTGATTTTTGGATATGTGTTGAATTTATGAGTCAAGAATTTGAATTATGTTTGAAATATTACGCGTTGTTCAAGTGGTGTTTAAGGTGCTTGTGTAGAAAAAAGTAAGCTTTATGCTTGTGGTTGATAAATTGTATTATGATGGGTCATGTGTTCAATCAATTGATTAAGGATGGAATTAGGCTTAAACAATAATTAGAAAACTTTAAATTGTTTAATTGATGAAGCATTGATTGGTTTTATGCTTAATTATGGCTAAGACAAGTGTGATGCTTTCAGTTTGTTCTTGGTAGTTTCAACCAAGACTAGTCTTTTATGTGGTTGAAGTGTTTTATTATGTTGAACAATAATTGTGCAAGTTCTTAGTGATATGATTATATGGTAAAGGATCCATGTGGTAATTATTAGTTTTATGTTGATCTTGGACAAGGAATGGTTCATGGTTGAATTTGGCCTAAAGGCTATTTTGTGATCTTGATGTTCGTGAATTGGGTTAATGTTGTTTTCATATGTTGTTAGTGTTTCATAAAAGTATGTTTTGTGTCCAATGATATTTGACTTGGTTATTGGTTAATCAATGTTCATAGATTACATGTCATGTCATTGTTTGCATTCACATCATGAAACAGTTTCCATCATGTTCATGGTTTTCAAAGATAAAATCAAGTGCATGGATTTTCAAAAAAAAAAAATGGCTAGGCATGTCCCAATCACGATCACAAGTTAATCATGGCACAAAAAGAGAATGATCAATTTTTTGTAGGTGTCACAATCACAGGTTCAATCATGGTTCATAATTATGAATGTGGCATACTTCACAGGAGACATGTCTAATGCTTTTTATAGTTTTCATGGACATAGTTTTCATGAATAGTTGAATATACACAAATATATTTGGTTAGGTGCACCCGATCACGGAAAATATATTTCAAAATCATGAAAATTTATTTCATTACATCATGCATTGTGCATTACATGACATGCATATATGACTACATTTGTTGAGCATATGCTCATCAAGTTGTCTTGCGAGGTAGGTATTCGGGATCATATAAAGACTCAAAGTGAAGATGATGAGTCGAAGGAAAGGTGCGACAAGACCTTGTTGAAGTGTAGTGTAAAAATTAGTACGCATTTAAGCCATGCCATTTTAAATGATCTAGGTAACTTTGTTAATTTAGATCGGGAATGAACGAGTAAATAAATATTTCAAGATGTTTATTAATTAGTTGGTTTGGCGGTGTAAATTGCTAATTAGATAAGGAATTAAGTTAATTAAATAAAAATTAAAAGTCAAGTTAATAAAGGGTCAATGACTAAAAATATTTAATGGTTTTAATTAGTATAAGTTAATTAAATGGACAATTCAAATTATAAATTAAATTATTTTTCAAAAGATCAAGTGAATTATTTTGTTTTTGTTAAGACAAGGATTAAAATGCAAAAGGTGTTTGATTAAATGAAAATGAGTAGATTTTAAATGGTTTTGAGGTAATTATTACGTAATATATTTTCATATGCATATTTTAGAAACATTGTTTTCATAACTATATATTTAGAAATATTTTTTACAACTTAATATACCTTATGAAGGCTAAGTTCGATTCTACTTTATACAAGTAGGATTTGACTAAAAATATTTCATTAAAATATCTTAAATTATGTTTTCATGAGTTGAGTTTAAATAAAGATTATTAGTGAATTACCATTGAAAGATTAATAAAATAAATTTAGAATTAGAGTATGATGAATAAAAGGATAGACTTAACCTTTTAAATTAACGAACTTTCACTCGTAAATATTAATTATTTTAGAATAGTAAAGATCACGAGGCTTCGTGTCTTGCATTCATTGCACTTTGAATATGAGACATGGTCGGTAATACTCTCAACCTACTTTTAGTCTTAGGTAGATCGGGGGCGTTACATCAACGGTTTTGTTTCATCGCCATTCAGATCAATAAATGAAAATAACGAGTGAAATTTTAGATTTAGCGACAAAGAATTCCATGACAAAAGCTTTTTCTTTTTTTCTTTTTTTTTTTTTTTAGTGTAAGGGTCATTTACTCAAAAGAAAAGTTCAAAAAAAATAAAGGCTGCAGAACTAACATTAAGAAAAAATTAAAAAAAAAAAAAAAGACAGTAAAACTTAATATGGCTAACGAAAATTCTGAAAATAATTAAAAAAACTAGGCCGTTAGTCTCTTAATTCATATTGACGGTTGCTACATTAATTATTTGACGTGACCAATTAAAAAAAAAAAAAAAAACAGAATTCATAGGACTGCAACTATTGCAGAGTTTCCTTCGAGATGGTGCAGTCGTTATCTCAAAGGATATGCTGGATGGTGCTCATCTTTTCTTTTATGGAGAAACAATGGGCTTCTTGCATTGATTTGGAAATTACTAGGCTTACGAGGTTATAGGTAGGTGGCGTTAGAGATGGAGTACGTTGTTAGGTAATAAATGATCGATCATTCGTCTATGAGGATCTCTGAATCTCTAATGTTATAGCTTCATGAGCTAGTTCAACGACTCGCATGTTTGTATTCGACATACATTCATTCAAGAAGGGAATCAATGCGGTTTACTGGATTTATCTTCAACAAATAATTCTAACGCGAATAGAAATGGCCTCTCTTTTCAAGCAAACCAGCTCTATGCCCGTTGCTGGACGGGTTCAATATATTTCATGAAAGAGTTTTATGGTGATAATAGATAAAAGATAATAATTTAACCTTACCAGCCCTAATCCACCCATCTCGCCTGCTTTCTATTTAAAAGATACTCTTATTTTGTTTATTTTTATAGATTATCACTTCAAATTAGTAATTTAAAAAACAAATATGTTCTTATTTTCTTAATGTTTTGTGATTTAATTTTTCTTGTATCAATAATCTGCCAGTGACCATGAATTTCTACTGAATAACTTCAACTCAACAGCTATCTATTTTTATTTTTTATTTTTCAAGTAGTATAATAGCATATGTGTGTATTTTCTTTTTTTAAATGAGGTGTAGAGGAATAACTTAAGAAGAGGTTATATAAACGTGTTAATATACATACATTTTTCTTTTTGGCCTACAATCATATTCCTGGGAACCTGCCAATAGAGCTTATGAATCCGCACGCGGTAAATGCCTAGTAATTGAGGAATGACATGTATGCATGTGCGGTGCATACGACTCAAAACCTACCATTCAAAATGTTACTAAGACCAGAATGGTAGAGCTTGCAACCATACATTCATCCATCTGCCAGTCAACCTTCACGAAACTAAAACTCCTTCCGAAGGGACCGAACTCATCAGAACCAAAATAAATCATTTAGTTTGATGAATGAAACACAGCAGAGTATGGAGAGAGAAGAGAGAGTCCCGCAACTTCAGAGCCATGTTCTTGGATAGGAAATTTTCCAGGTATGTTCTTTTCTCAGCAGTGAATAATTTTCTTGGATGCTTATTGTAGAATTTGCTCGACGACGCTTGTCATAGGCATATGTACACATATACATACATACATATATACATATATATATATATATATATATATATATATATATGAAACTTTCGAAAACTGAAAATTTTCAAAAGCTCGATTTAGATTCGTGTTTGCTAACTCTTTAACTTTCAAGAGCAATTAGGCCATTAGAGTTGATTTAAAGCTTGTTAGTACAAACAAATACAACTTTTTTTTTCTAACAGAATAGATATAGAGAGAAAAATATTCACCCAATTAATCACAGAACTACGAGAGAACTGAACAACATTTGAGAGAATCCAGTATAGGAAACAACACAAGCCTATGGTACAACAAACAACTTTTCCACTATTTCATGTGCATGTATGGTTGCTTGCAAAGCTATAGAAACAACAGAGCACCACACACAGTGAAACACACGCAGCCAGCACAGTTTAGAACACTAACTGTAAGATATATTTCAGTACTTAGAAGGTCAAGCTTTTTCAACACATCCATGGCATCTTACCAAGAACAATTGAAATTTTACATTCCATAAAATTAGCTTGCAGACTCGAAAATAACAAAAACTCAACTATGAAGCATTAAAAACCATTCTTGAGATTTTGGTACACTTATGTCCAATTCCTTTAACGTATGGGATGATACTTTGTGATACCACGTTTTGGAGGCAATTTCCTCAAAATGAAAAGAACCAAAGAAGAAGGTAAAATCTCCACCAGCTGCAAAGAAAAACATGAAAATACAGACAAATCAAAAGCTAAGAGGTAGATAGAGACTTCAACTCTGGGCAGTTCAAAAATCAACAGCAGAACCATGCAATCAGTACTCTGAAGCAAGCCATAGATGCACAACTAATAAAATTAGATAAAGAAAAAAAATGAAAAAACTAAAAACTAAAGGAAGAGGGCCATGAAATAGAAGTCCACTTCAAACAGGAATCAGTGAATAATGTAAAGGATGCCAATGAGAGAATGAATTCTAGGAACAAAGGCAAAACATAAGTATTGTTCTTTGAAAACTTCAAACAACCACCTTCGGAAATCCAGAAATGCACAGCTGTCATCCATGATTCTATTCAAATTTTAAAAACATATGGAATCCTAAGTTCACAAATTATTTTTTTCACGACCAAGTATACTGCCAAGCCACCTCAAAATGCTATTTGCTATCAGCAGAGCTGATAATTCAAACAAGGTCCATTTAGGAATACCAAATTTGTACATTTTCAAACTCCCCAACATCAATAGATCCAGATATCTAATATTCACAAACCAGCAAACATTGCAAACAGCAGAAAATATTCAATGAGAGAAAATGATAAAACAGGAAACTTTCTTGATATCACACGTGCGTGCACATGTGTCTTCACCTTTGACTTTTACATTTAGCTAACCAGCGGGGAGACAATCATGAAACAGCCTTTAAAATTAATGTTTTGATAAACAAAACATGCCACAAACTTTCAATAGCTTTTCTGTATGCCGAATCACAAACTTACCAAGTAATATATGAAGTTGAGAACTGGATGATCCAACACATCAAGGTCTGCAGCTTCATCAAATGCATCAAAGCACATCTGGAGCATAAAATAACAGTACAGGCTAAAGTTAAAGAAACTTCAGGTCTATAGCTTCAGGTCTCAGCAAAGTGAACACGACTTTCAGGGGTAACCAATTTACAAGAAACATTGTCATTTAGGATAGTTATAAAGTAATGTGGACTCCTATTCTCATGTGATAATAAACAGCTAATCAATTTAAAAGAAACAGTATCATTTAGGATTGTTAAACAGAAATATAGACTCCAGCTGTCATGTAAAGGAATGCTACCGGCAATCATAGCGACAGCCACTAGGAGCACTCACTCAATGTAAGGTATTGGCACAACTGGTTAAACAACTATTAATTCATATTTATCTTTCTCTAAAAAAGAAAATAGCAATAAAATTGAAAAGAAAAAAAATGAACGCTCTGTGTATGTCTCAAGACTCTCAACTCTTGCCCTCCTCTATCCCTCGCTACTTTTAATCCTCTTCCAATTTCAGTTAGCTAGCAACCTAGCCGAACAATTTGCCCACAATTTAAGCTTCTTTGCCTTTGGTTGATCTCTCTATAAACCTCTCCCTTAAAAGAACTTTACAATCTGAAAAATTTAGTTCTTGTTCTTGTTTCCTTGATGACCTTGAAGACTCATGGCTGAATCTACTCAGAATCGACAACATTCACTGTCTTTTAAGTTTTGAGTCCAACATCTCCATTTGATCTGAAGTCTCATTATGCTTAACAAGCGCTTTAAGATAGTTCTTATTTGGCGGCTGGTTTCATTGTTTAAGCTTGAATGTTGATGCATCTTAATTTGCAAGGTTATTTAGTGGTTTTAATTTGTAAGCTGATGGTACCTTGTGAAGGTCGATGCTTCTTACAGCAGAATTGGGGAAATGTTCATTTAATAGCCAACAGTTTATATCTCGAGGAAAAAAAAAGAAAAAGAGGTTAACCAGTTGTCAGTAATAAATTAATAGATTATTGGCAGCATGGCTACGGTTCTGGGAGTGTCACTCGCGGCTGTCAAAGTGACTGCCGCTAGCATTCCCCTTCTCATGTAAGCACTTAACTGGCAGATTTAAAACTTCTACCCAACACAAGTTAGGCATCATCCTCATATAGTCAAGGGTAAAAAAGACAATCTGGAGAAACATAAATATAAACTCACCATAATGCATCTAACAAGGAAGCATAAGAAACATATGGTGGTTACATAGCCAACCTGTTCAAAAACCAAACAAAAAAGGCACTCAATAAATGAAAAAACTGTGGACACATATATTGAAAGAAGAAAATCATATAGTTTGTAAAGGAAAATATTTCCTGCCACAGCAGGCAACACAAGAGAGTGGAGTCTCATACAGTACACGTTAATATCAGGGTAGTTGAATAGTAAGAGATTCAAATGAGTTTAGATTGTACATCTAAGTTTGAGGATCTTGTTTATCTGAATCATTTAATAAACACTTGGTTAACTGAGAGTCTAACACATCATGTAGCAAGAAACTCAGGCTTCTTGATTTTCAGGAAATCACTTTCTAAATATAATTACCTCTTGCAATTTCTTACGCCGCCCTTTAGATTCCACAGGGAATCGCTGCAACATTAAGAAGAGCCTGCCAAAAGATTACAATTCAAAGAGTACAGGTTCTTAAATAAGAAGCTTATCTTCTAGGAGAACGAAAACCGTGCAAAAAGAGAAATCAAAGGTACATGCTAAAAGGCTTTCACATACAAGTTCATCATATTGCATAACTATGCAAATACAAACTGTTGCAATTAGAAGAAAGACAGCACAATGAATATAGACATGTGTGCAACCACTGGCATCCTCATAAAACTTTTGAAGTGGCCCCAAGTAACTAACACTTTATCTCTGACCACTTCATGAAAAACAGAACCATGACTGGAGTCATAAAGGACCAATTTATGGGCTGAACCTTGACCCTAGGAGTAAGATGATCAAAATGCACTACATGAATTGCATGATGATCCTAACAACTAGAGACATCGTAGGCAAGTCAGACAATCTTGCAAACCTGGTCTGACTGCAGCAGCAGAGATGACAGAATCCACCATCTCTTTTTTTTTTTTTTTTTAGTTTCTGACTTCCTCCAGAGGATGCAGGCTAGTAAAAAAAGATAGCAGGTGGGATAGGACACAGATAGCATCTGACTCACACTACCCAATATGAACCAATAACAGAGCATCTTTTATTGACTGGTGGCCGAACCTTCACCAAGTAGGGTGAAACGTGAAAATATGCCCAGAAACTGACATAAACTTAAGCAACAATAAGAACACCTAAAATATTGCTCCAGCAGAGTCCCTTTATAAGAAAATCCCACCAGAACTTGCTTAGAGGAAAATCCCATCCCATCAGATCAAAGTAATTGCAGTTGGTACTTGCTACCTTAGAAACATAACTAATAAGAACACCGATGGCTGTTTTTTTCCAGTAAGAAAAACAAGGTGATGTCAACCTAGCCAACCTCCACCAGCAAGTAGCAGCTAAATACAAATCCATTTTAGATTTGGATAAATCCACTTTTGAGCCTTTCCAAGTAAGGGAATATTGAAATGACACAGCATTGTCATGGATTTGGCAGGTCAATTAACATGGAACTCGAACTTCCAGAGGAACATAATGTCACAAGGAAATAGTCGTTGACAAGTTGAATAGTTCCATTTTAATGGATATCTGAAACTATACCAATTAAAGCAATGGTTTGGGCCAAACCAAAAAAGGTTGACACTATTTGTTGTCAATACACAATGATATCATAAACCAAAAGAAATCCACTATTTTGTGTGTCACAGACAGTAATTTAGTACTGGGAAATTAAAGCAGTGGCCATGGCTTTGATTTTCTGATAAACAAATTTGTTGCTATTTGCAAACTTTGGGGTTTAATCCAAGCCCATCAATAACATTCGCATAGAGTGCGAGTATACAATTTATAAATTTTTCTAGTGCTGACACCCTGTATGTCATGCTGTGTGTATTCATCTTGATCATGAATCAAGAATATATAGCAATAAGAAAATAGAAGTGTAGTTACCTTCCACCATAGAGTAGAAACCCAAGAGCTGCAAACAAAGACACACCTGCCAAGGACATCGATGTTAAGAACAAACTGTCTGAATTACCACTAGAGAATGACCAAGTATGTAGAGAAGTTCACTGTGTATGGTAAAGGACCTGCAAAGAATATCTTTGATAGGATGATAACAATTGGAATAGTTTTCCAAGCCAACACCAACCACATAGCAATCTGGAATAGATTAAATCAAAGAAAATCAGAGTTAAAGCTAGTATGCTGCAGATCGTACTGGTCAATTTGCAACAGTATCAATATAGCAATACCCCAGCGTGCCCATAGCATGGAGCAACAAACAGACACCGGTTGTGCAATGAATTTGGCAAACAATCATGCAAGGATGAACAGATTGAAAGTAGATAACCAGTAAATAGTCCATAATGTATCACAATATTCTCAAGCCTTCAACAAATCTTAGGAATGTTGCTATGCAAAGGAAATTTGTGTTAAAGTCTGCAAATGTCACATCATTATGATAGACCTTCACCAGATCAGAATTTTCAGAGGACAATGGGAAACCAACTGATACGACAGTCTAGTATGCTGACTAGGTTTGCAATAGTAAAAGCTATCACAGGCATAACCATGGCCAGATATTAATGTTGAAATGAATGACAAGTTAGTACAAAAGCACCATGGCTTAATCTCGTTTGCTTACGTAAACTTCAAAGTGAATTTTTAAAGTACTTTGATAAAAGCAAAAAGAAACAGAAACTTTTCATCAAGTTCCAAGGCATGTGATTGTACGTAGATATACAAACACTGAGAAACTGATCAATTTTGAAATTCTCTTTGGAGGAACATAGAAGACAGTAAGGTGTGCATTATAAATTTATCCTGAGCTAGGTGCTTGTAAGCCACTAGCTTTTGTATTTCACGTCGTGGCTCTGTATGAAAAGTGTAGCAATTTATTATGGATACATTGCGAGCTAGGGTATGTGTTCATGTGTAGCAATTAACACTCGGCCTGCAATGCATACAGCCATACCCTTTGGATGTTTGATGCATCAGCACAGATTCGGTGCCAAAGAATATGACATAGATTTTTATGGAAATCTCTGATAAATATTATTTTCTATTTTCTTCTGTTATTTCCTGTTCGTTGCAAGGTTTAGTTTTCTATTGCTTTAATGCAGCCCTTCACCAACTTTTAGCCTGTGAAACAACATATGCTCTGGATTATTCTGATTACTTCTTTTACCAAACCCAACAAAATTTAAATCAGCCACAAAAGCCTCAAATTCTATGCAAACACACCCAATATCTTAGTTTATTTAACGGCGTCTGGTGCATCAATCATTTGGCATCAGACCAAGGTTATAGCTTATCCCACATAGCCTGTAAAACCAGAAAGGCATCTCCAGAAGGGACGGTCGCTACACTGGTGGGTGAAATATTGAAACCTCAATTTTTTTTCATGCATCAGATTCTAAATAATTAAAACGTTATTAAAAGGCACTTTGCCAAATAAGGTAAAAAAAAGAAAAAATAACTCCTCAGCAGATAAAAGAAGAATTTTTACACACAAGTGCCCATCCAAATAATCTAAATTGCACTATCTAGTATTTACAAAGTTATTGTGTGGGTTCATCTTAAGAATGTTCCTTGTTAAGGGTCCTTAACAACACTCTTCGATAACATTCAAAAGAATTAGCTAAAGACAGGAAAAAACTGCAACAATATTACAGTAAGTAACACTCTTTTAATGAAGCAGACTAGCTTCCATGTAGAAGGAATTCGACTTTGAATCCTCCACTTCACTTCGATTAATAGCAAAACAATGGAGGAGAAATTTCACCTGAATGACATAAGCCACAGCATTAATTGTGAAGAAACTAGTCCTGAGTCCATCAGTAGATACCGCACGTGCCTGTTTAATATATGTCAAAGTCGTAACAGAGTTGGACCAAACATAGAATTAGTTAACTTAACTGCCAACGAAACTCAACCTGATAGTAAATCTCTGCCCAGAACAGAACCAGAAGCGCATATGTGGTGAAGAATGCAAGACTTGGGAAATCAAGGAGAATATGTTGGAAAATCTGGGTGACAGAAATTATCAAGTTCACCAATGAGGGATCGTTACTATAATAAACCGATGAAGTTAAAGAAAATATGATTATAAGTCGAACACCCCCATACCGGTGGATGTATGCCTTCTATGTTCCGGCGAAAAACAAATACTAGACATCGAACTGCCATATAGAAGAAACCTCAGTCAATATAACATAACATAATCGCAATGAAAAGTAAATTTGTTTACTTTGTAGAATTTGAGAATATTGAAATACACACCCCCATTCACCAGGAAGTTGAGAAAATGAAAAACCTTCTGCGTAGTCCAGCCGTATTCAGGAACTCTCAGTTGTATCCTTATCAATTGAATCTAAAAACGCAGTAAAAAAAAAAAAAAATCAAATTACCTACCTCTCTATTCATCAATTTAAAAACCTAGAAAATCCTAAACTCGTCATTCTCGATCATAAATTGACAAAAGAAAGATGACATGGTGCTGATTTAATAGACAAATGAAGAAAAGGAAAAGGAGGTGTGGTGAACGTACAAGAGCAACGGCGGCGACGAGGCCATAGAGGCCGGCGAGGACGTGAAAGATGCGATCTTGCCAGACCGGTGATTCATTAATATCTTGCCACCAACTCGACGCCTCTTTCAATTTGAAAGCAATCACCGCCCCGGCCATCTCTACGCTGCTGCTTCCTTCCTCCATAACTCGCCGGAGGTATTGATTTACGGCGATTATTTTTATATTTTTTTAATCAATTTGAAAGAGATAAAGCAAGATGCAACACGATTTCTCTTTTTTATTTTTTTTGGTTTGATTAATTACTTGTGAGAGAAAAATGGAATCTGATCACGTTTTTTTTGGTTTTGTTTTCGGATTATTTTTCGTTTTTATTAGAAGAAGTTATTTGCTAATTTTTGTCCTAAATTGTTGTGTGGGAAGGAAAAAGAAAAATTAAAAAACTGCCGGCAAAAAAAGAAATGAGAAAATAGGTGGGAGAGGCGAGGGGATAGATTTTAGGAGGTTGTTTCTGGAAAATAGGCTATGTACCGGCTGTAGCCGGTGGTATTTGGATGATCTTTTGGATTTAAGGGAGACGCTGACGCGTCTTTCTAAGCTTCAGCAAATATGGCACATTGTTCGAGCTTATGTTTGGCGGTTAAATTTTACATGCAATGTGGATTATTGATTATTTTATAAAATCAAAATTTATAAACAGTATGTGATCAAGTAACAAAAGGCACATTGTTCCCAAACTCATTTCTCTTGATTCTTCCTTTTATATTGAAAAAACGTTTCTTTAAGCTCACATACATTACGAGATATTTATCCGAATTCGAAAGGGCTGATTTACCGTGATTAATGGTAACATTTTAAGATAAGAGGTGCTGGCGAATCCATTAGAATTATGATTTAGCCATTGTGTATTTAATAATTTATTTTATTAAAGTAGATTCGAGATTTTATGATTTTGGTTTATTTAATTACTATGTAATAAAAGAACGCTATTTTTATTAAATATTTAAAACCTAACGGAATTTTTGTACCGAATAAAAATTGATGTTTGCTTTGTGATGATAGTAGTTCAAGTAAACTTTTTTTTTTTTTTTGCCTTCCCACTTTTGAGTTATGGCAATGTTTTTGGAACATATTTGGGCAGGTTTTTGCCTAATTCAATTCAGGTCATACTAAAATTTGTTTTTTGTTTTTTGTTTTTTTTTTTAACAATTATGTATATGTAAAAATTAGAATCATTCATCTTGGTTTGAGTTTTGTCATTATTATTATTATTACAAAGGTGGCATATTACTTAGATTGAGCACTGATTGTAGAGATACCTTAAGTTTTGATCTAACAAAAATGTAGTAAAGATTTCTTTAAAAGTGTTGTTTGGTTATAAAAATAAAAAATTCAGAATAAAAATAAAGGAATCTAAATAAAAATTAGAAAATCAAAATAATATTTGCATTTTCATATTGTGTTTGAAATAATAATAAAAAATCAAAATAAAATTTAATTTTTTTAATATCCGATTTTTAAAACAAATAAGAACAATGATTAAAATACTAAATTCATGATAATACAATTAATAAAAAATAATTATAATATTGGTAGTGGTGACAATGACAGTGGTGAAGTAAGAAGAAGATGAGAAGAAAGTGACAACAATAGTAATATAGTAATAGTAAATAATATATTTTAAAAAAATTAATACCACAACTATAGGAAGTGAGAGTAGAAGAAAAATAATGATAATAATAGTAGTGAAAAAGAATGTTGGCATAATAATAATAATAATAATTTTACACCACCATCAATGAAACAATGGTGATATAATAAAAGTGATGATTGTGATATAATATTTTTTTACACCATCAATGAAGTGACAATGTTATAATAAAAACGATGGTAGTGGTTGAGAAGGAATGATGACAGAACAATAATAATAATAATAATTTTTAATTTTTTTATTAAATAGATCGGATCTTAAACCGAATTCAATATAATTAAATAGATCTAATAAATAATTTTTTATATGACTCGATTATAATCTAAATCTAACAACACGTTTATTAAATAGATCAAATCCGGATCTACCTTAATCCGATCCAATAATAATCTAACTCGAAATTAAAATATATATATCTATATCCGCGTGTGTGTGGAACTACGTTAAAATTTAGAGTTTATTTATTATAAAATTTAATTAACGCATATCCTTCTATAGTGACAACTCGTGTTTTAAAAAATTACATAAAAAATCTTGTTGTTTTCTTAATTCAATTTCATGAAAGAAAAATTATAAATTGACTTATATGTCTTTTCAAAAAGTTGGTATTATTATATTTTTCATCGCCCTATTTTTGCTTTAAAAAAAAGTAAAGAAAAGAAAGAGCAAAAAAAAAAAAAGACTAGAAGAAAAAAATAATTAATTGAAATCGGGCAACATCGAAGAGACTAAAAAAGAGGGATGACAAAAAAATAATAAAATAAGGCAATTTGAAGAATATTTGTTCAATTGGAGTAACGACACGTTTATTAAATAGATCAAACTCCGGATCTACCTTGATCCGATCCAATAATAATCCGACTCAAAATTAAAAATATTAATACTATAATAAATATAGTATTTTTTAAAATTATGTGTGTGTGTGTGTGTGTGTGTGTGGAATTATGTTAAAATTTAGAGTTTATTTATTATAAAATTTAATTAACACATATCCTTCTTTAGCGGCAATTTTAAAAAAAAAATTACACAAAAAATCTTATTATTTTCTTAATTCAATTTCATGAAAGAAAAGTTATAAACCGACTTATATGTCTTTTCAAAAAGTTGGTATTATTATATTTTTCATTGCCCTATTTTTGCTCGAAAAAAAAAAAGAAAGAAAAGAAAGAGCAAAAAAAAACAAAAAGACTAGAAGAAAAAAAATGATTAATTGAAATCGGGGCAACATCGAAGAGACTAAAAAAGAGGGATGACAAAAAAAAATAAAAATCAAGGCAATTTGGAGAATATTTGTGCAATTGGAGTAACAACACGTTTTATTAAATAGATCAAATATGGATATACCTTGATCCAATCCAATAATAATCTGACTCAAAATTAAAAATATTAATATTGTAATAAATATAATATTTTTAAAAATTATATGTGTGTGTGTGTGTGTGTGTTCGTGGAACTAGGTTAAAATTTAGAGTTTATTTATTATAAAATTTAATTAACACATATCCTTTTACAGATGACAATTGTATTTTAAAAAATTACATAAAAAATCTTATTATTTTCTTAATTCAATTTCATAAAAGAAAAATTATAAGTTGACTTCTATGTCTTTTCAAAAAGTTGGTATTATTATATTTTTCATCGCCTTATTTTTTCTCAAAAAAAGAAAAGAAAGAGCGAAAAAAAAGACTAGAAAAAAAAATAATTAATTGAAATCGAGGCAACGTCGATGAGACTAAGAAAGAGGGATGACAAAATAAAAAATAAAAATCAAGGCAATTTGGAGAATATTTGTGTAATTGGAGTTTTTTTCCTAAATAAATTTGAAAAAAGAAAAAATATTATTTGAATATGCTTGAGTATTTTGAGCATAACTTTTTGTATAAATGTCTAATTCATGTGATTATAGCTGAAAATTAAAGCCAAGAGATAAGGATATAATTTATATGTTTTAAATTTAGTCCAAATGAACTCACATATTAGAGAAATTGAGATGAAAGTGATGGCTCCAACAAATTGACATCAGTATGAGGCCAACTCTAGAATCCTAATATAAAAAGGAATCATGTGTTATATATAGATGGAGTTTTTCTTCTTTTTTTGACAAAAACAATATTGACGAGTCCTAAGCAAGAGGCATACACATAAAAAAACACAAGAAAATAAGGCAGAGAGAAGGAAAAGAGAGAGATCAATTTATGTAGTTTCAAAAGCTATAATTTAGGATACTTTAGGCAACTTTTCTCATCGATCCTCCAACTATCTTCGCCGTGTTCGGTTTATAGTCATCGAATGTTAGCCCTCATTGTTTCTAGTCTTTTATTTTATCAAACTCATGCCTTTTTTTCCTTTGATTTTGTGTCCTAAAAGTCACAATAACAACTTAAAAATAATGACAATAGACAATTCTAGGCATTGCGTTTCTTCTTTAAAAGTTTGGTTTATTTCATATGGTTCGGTCCTTGAGTTTGTTGGTTGATTTTATTTTAAAAATTTAATATAAACTGATTTTTCAATTAGATCCTTCAATTTCACATAATAAGAGTTAAATCAACACTTAGTTAAAGATAATGTCTATTTTGTTCATTTATAATTTGGACAAATTTTTGACATAATTATCGTACATGTTTACTTTCGAAGATTATAAAGGCAATAACTACTACTACTACAAGTGATTGGCTTTCAAATTGAAACAAAAAAACCCAAGGTATTTCATTTACCTAACTCATTATATTTCCACCTTATGCATTAATCAATTATTAAAAATAAATGATAATAATAATGGATTATGTTTTCTTTATTTCTTTCTTTGCAAGCCTTGATTTATAGCATTATCATTTTGAAATTTGAATCAATAACTATTTATTTTACTACCACGTGAACAAGAGAGAAAGGTTTTTTATTTTTTTTAATTTTTAGTTTTATCGTACTTTTATTAAAATTACTTGATTTTGTGCTTTTGAATTGTGTGGTAATTTGATTTATTCACAAAATTGATAGATGATATATTATTTTAATATATTTTATTACAAATATAGTGGTTGAAATATAGTTTATATTTCAACAATATATTAAATGTAGCCAACATAATTTTTTTACAAAAAACAAATAATAAATTCGATGGCGCTCCGAATCTATTAGGATCCGAATCTAAATTCACATCTAAATTTATAAGATTCGATCCGATTCGTTTCATTAAACAAATCGGATTTAGAATATATTAAATGTAGCAAGCATAAATTGTTTTACAAAAAACAAGTGATAAATTTGACTGAGCTCCGAATCAAGTAGGATCCGAATATAGATTCACGTCCGAATTCATAAGATTCGATCCGATTCATTTCATTAAACAAATCGGATCTATATCTACGATGATCCGATCCGAGTCCGACTCGTTGACAACTCTAGCAGTGATGATGAAAATAGAGGAGTTGAAAGTAGTAGAAGTAGTTGATACATTATAAATAAAAATAACATA